TTTGAGCGCTGCGAGTGCCAGTATGGTGCGAACGGTTTCGAAGCGCACTACTGGGGAGAAGACTTCGGAGAAGTCGATGCCTTCGCGCTGGGAAAAACCCTTAGCGACCAGGCGTGCCTTTCGGCGGCCATCTGTTTTTATGTCGAATACCCATCGACACCTAATCACCCTACGACCGGGCGGTAGGTCAACTTCCGTGAAGACACCCCGTCGGACGAGAGCTTCGATCTCATCACGACAAGCCTGCATCCAGGCTTCCGACTCCTCGGCGGGTAATGTGATTATGTCTTCATACTTCCATTCCCTCACGTTTGCGAGGTCTGGTCCAAGATTTGCGGATGCTGCGTACGCGTGTAAGAGCATACGATCCACAAACTTTGCTGCTGCTTCCTTCGCCGAAGCGATATGCGCCGCTGCGTTTCGCAATAACGCGTGCGGAAGGGGTTCTAATTCCCTTGATGCGAGGGCCATGAGTGAGGTGGGGCCATCGTCGTCGTCTGCAGGCGCCGAGTTTCTATGCCTCTGCCAGAGGTTTTTGAAACGTTCCTGCATACCTTCGACCTCATCTATGGTGAGATTTGGGTCGATAGGCGTCAAAGCGTCAGATTCTAGGCGTATGCCTGTCTTCTGCCACTTCGACGGAGGCATCTCGGCATCAGCACCAGGCTGATGGTCGTGAGTTCCCTCTACAGGATTTCCTCGTAAGCGCTTATAGACGGTACCCTCTAATCGTTTGTCGATATTCCTCAGTCTCTCTACCGGGGTGCGTCCCGGTATAGCGTTGTTGGGATCCTCGATCGCGTTCCTCGTACGCCCAGATCTCCGTAAGCCGGTTGGCGCTGGTCCGGCAGGATTTACAATTCGAGGGTCTAGATCCACCCTTGGTTCGCGATGCGGTGAACGCAAGTCGCGTTCCAACGGAGCTGGCTCTTCGTCAGGATCCGGCAGAAGATCTTGTTGTTCCCTTCGTGAGGGGTCATCTGCTGGTGGATTCTGGTACAAACCCTCATACTCGTCGTCGTCGAATTCGCCTTCACCGTATTCCGGTTCCAGCTCCTTCTCCAACTCCTCGTAATCATCCTCGTCAAAATCCTCGACCTTAGGCTGTTGCCTTTTGCGCTTCTCGTCTGGAGTATCTGACCTTGGCGTTGGAGGCGGGCTTGGGTTTCGCCGCCCGTCGGCAGGTCCACCGTTGCCACCTTGGTCAGGAAACATATCGGCAGGAGACGATGGTCGGTCGTCATCCGAACCAGAAGGACTGGTGTTGGTTTCAATGATGGGAAACCTAGGTGGTAGTAGCTCGTCCACCTCTGGTAAGCGCGTAAAGCGCTTGGTGTTCCGTTGCCAGAACATTGTACGCTTCGGAAAGGTCTGCTCATCGAACGTTGCGTTAACAGCGACCCGTAGTTTCCATTCTCCGGTTAGGAACAGTCTCCCGTTCCCTGCCGGTGACTCCCCGACGTAGATACACGCCTGGGATCTTGGAACAAGCTTGTTGGCTCGTTCCTCAGGAGTCAGGTACACGTATGCCAGACATCCGAAAACACGCAAGTAATCGACGCGGGGTTTTTTACCCTCCACTATCTCATACGGCGTTTTCCAGCGCATACTCTGCGCTGCCTTCGGACGACTCATGGGCGTTCTGTTGTAGACGTGACATGCGTGCTTGATGGCGAAGTTCCATAGGAACGGCGGCAAATTGGCGTTATGCAGCATTGACATAGCTTTTTCATCTAAGGTGCGAATAATCCGTTCCGCACGGCCGTTGGTTTCATGGTTGTACGGCATTGATTGGAGGATGCGAATGCCACGCGATTCTAAACTTTTGGTAAAGGCTCGCGATTTGAACTCTCCCCCTGCATCGCTCATCCACATCCGAATCGTTTTGTGGTACTGATTCAGCAGCATGCTAAACCAGGTCTCTACGGCTTGCTGGACCTCGCTCTTTCGACTGAGGAGCATGACCCATGCGTAGGACGTGCAGTCATCCATGAGGACAAGTGCGTATGATTTTTTGTTCCACGACTCGACTGCGAACTCTTTGAGATCAGCATGGATTAATCCAAGGAACTCATTAGAGCGATGTTCGTTTGGTGGGAACGGAAGCTGGTGTTTCTTGCCCAGCATGCACCCCTCGCACGGACGACGAATCGACGGCGAGGGTAAGCTAAGACTCGAAGGAACTCCTTCGACGTGTTTCCTAGCGTAGCGAAGCACTTCGTCCGAGCAATGCCCGAGACGTTGGTGCCAGATCTGAAAGTCGGGTAGATTCATTCCGACAACACCAGTCGCATGAGCCTGGTGCAGATCTAATGATGTATGAACCCAAAATAGGTTCCCCCCAGGGCACACTGTAGCGTGCACCACTTCTTTCGACTTGTTGGCGGTGAGCACCACCAACTTGTCGGCATCTCCGTGTAGAATGTTCCCGTTCCGGCAGAATTGACCCGTCGAAAGCATACGAACGGTTCCGCCAGGAAGGTAAAAGACGGGGTAGATTCGGGTCGTGCATGGTTTCCCACGCGTATCTTCATGGCGAAGGACAACTGTCCCTGAGCCCTCACACCGGATAGATCCGGATGATGTTGAGACGGTGAATTTCTCTTCTTCTGGTAGTTCCTCATACTCGGAAAAATCCGAGAGTTCGAACGTGAAGTGCGTAGATGCACCTGAGTCAAGCACCCATCCAATAGGATAGCGTGCATGCAACTTGTCATGAAGAGATCTCTCACGGTCGGTGTCGCGTACGACCAATGCCTTATCGATGCAGATATCACACCACTGAGAACTTGAATGTACACATTGTCCATTCATTACGTCTGCAGATACATGTGAAGAATAACTACTGACTACATATGGTTCACCTGTAAAGGGTTTAGCACCAGATACGTTGTCAGAGGCATCGAGAAAGCTGGTTGCGCACCAGACCGACTCGCAATCGAGTGACACCGCCCGTTCTCCGCCCTGTTCGGACGGCTCCTTGAGCGACATACCCTCGAACTCCTCTATGTCGTCCTCATAGCCGTACTCGGCGATCTGAACCGGACTGGGCGCCATTGTGCGGCGAAGGTCCTCCTTCTGTTGCTGGTACTCAGCGTACGCCTCCTTGTTGAGCCAGCCCTTGTGGCCGGTCGTAGAGTCGTCGACATAAGCACCACCGCCCGACAGGCGGTCACCAAGCTTCTGACGCTTTTTGTAGTCAGTGAACTTAGTGCGCTTGGGAGGAGCTAACCCAGACACGAAGTGGTCAGAATCGGAAGCGCGCGGAGGGGTAACCGACGGCTTACGAGCAGACTCCTCTACCGGCTCGATACGAGCCGACAGAGGCGGGGACGCTGAGGGGCCCATGGAGAGCCGCTGTATAAGCGGCGTCTCCCCCGCGAACGCGGGCAACTCGGCGCGCGTTCCCTCGAAGGTGGGCGCAATGCCCTGGTCCCGCTGACGCTTGAGTGCGCCTGCAGTTCCGTGAGGGGGCGCCGGAGCGCTGCTGCGGCCTTGATAGGCCGTCGCGGGTTGGTGGGACCGCTTGCGCGGATCGGGGGTCGGTTCGGAGAAAACCGGTGGAGAGTATGAGGGGCCAGACGGCCCGGAAGCGACGTGCGCGACGTGGTAGACGGGAGCCGGCGTTGTAAATGTTGCCGAGTAGTTGGCAGCGGCGGGTGCGGCACTCTGCGGCGCCTGAGTTGGCGTCGCGCTGGCAGAAGTCGACGACGAAGCCGCGTTAGCGGCCGCCGGCTTCTGTTGCTGCTGCTGTTGCTGCTGCGCCTGATGCTCCTTGCGCTCCTTCTTGGAAGGACGCTTCTTCTTGCCGTCGGATGACGAATGGCCGTTGTATTGTTTCGTACTGGAGCTGGCCTTGTTGGCCTGCTCCTCCTTCACCTGATTGACCTTCTTCTTCTTCTGCCCGGAGGACCGCAGATCCCAGGATGCTTGCATGCCCTGGATGATGTCGCTCGTCGCCAGATTGGTGAGGAGCTGCGTGGAGTTGTTGATTTGGTGTTTGAGCGGCTCGTAGCCAGCCGGTATTTTCGAGAAAAGGATGACGGCCCGAGTGGAGTCAGTTATGACACCACCCAGGCCTGCGAAACGAGAGAACGCCGCCATGATCTTGGCGAGAGCAGGGTTGGGGTCGGTGTCGGCCGGGATCTGGGTGTTGAGGGCGATCTTAATTTCGTTGACCGCCGCCGTGATCCCTTGTGCGCCTGAGCGCACTTCCAGAGTGGCGAACATCTGGAGCGCCGTGTCGTTGTTCAAGATGAACTGGTTCATGTCGTGGCTGACACATTCCCTGATTTTGCCGATCGCGGTGTCGTTGGCGTCCTCCCACTTGTTGATCTCGGCCTCAGAGGGATTGGTGGCTAGCATGACTGCGCGGGGCATGCGCAGCGCTCTACCCGCGCCAGAGGCGCGGATGTGGTTCTCCATGCGGGGTTTCCAAAGCACGAAGTCGGTGCCGGCAAAGATGCCGACAGCGATCTGGGCTGGGGTTTGATGAGAAGTAGACATGTTGATGAATCTGGGGTAAAGATAACGTCAGCGTGGGTACACTTGACGAATTACATCATGCCCAGGCGAGTCCGCGGTAGACTAGCGGTCTAGACCTCCAGAGCCGCTCGAGACCCGAACCGGTTAAGGTGCATGGGTTCTCACGGATGTGGGAAAGGCCCTTCACACATGACAGGAGGGTGTCCCCTTGATTCCTGCCGCCCTGGTGTTTACCAGTGGGCGAAGGGGGAAACGCTTCGGATGAACCGTTGCGAATGACTCCCCCCCATGGCATACTAAGCCGCCTTGAGGTACTAGGCTCCGCCGCGCCCGCGGG